GGAAGACAGTGTGGTATAGTGAAGAATGGGGGCTTTAGAGCCATAGACTTGATTTCTGATCCTAACTCTCACCTCTCCTTTAGCTGTGCAACCTCTGGCAAGTTACATCTCTCCAAGTCTTAGTTATCTCATCTGTAAACTGGGGATAATAGCGCATACCTCATCCATCAGGTGTTTATGAGGAACAAATGTAAAGCACCTTGCAGAGTGCTAGAATAGAATAGGTACAATTCCAAATTTATCATTATTATTATGATGATGGTGATGATGATGAAGTCAATTTTGCAGAAGAAAAAAACAGATTCAGAGCTGAAGTATCTCGCTTAAGTTTATATAGCTAGTAAACTTAAAAGGCATCTAGCACCATACCTGGCACCATAGCAGGTGTCAATCAACATTTTGCTTGCATTCCTCCTTCCTGATCTAAAACTCAATGATTTTTTGAGATCTTATTCCTTTAAAATAATGGGTTAGGCTCAACTTTACCTTGGTTGATGCAAGATTCAACCACTGACATACATTTGCAAAAATTAAAAGCATTTTTTTCTGACTCATAGGTAGTAATACATGGATTAAGACAATAAAGAGGATTCCAGGTCTTGCAAAAAAGATAATTAGGCCTGCCATTTTGCCTAACATAGGACAAGTCATTTCTCCTTCAAAGGGGTACATATTTTCCCTCCTAGGTGTCCTACCGATTGGCAGTCAGTGGCAGATGAGGTACTGTTTCCAGACTTTTAGCTCCCAGATCTGTATACTTTATTTTATATAAGTCAGTGCACTGAAGGATGGTGCAGGCTAAAAATATAAATTGGTTCAAAATGTGTTTATGTCATTTCATGGATGATAGATTCAGGTTTTTGTCCTTGGCCTTTTTCTAGTCTCAACCTTCTACACACTCTCCCTGGGTAATCTCATCCATCCCCCAGCATCTCTATTCTGAGACACTGATGAGCTCAAATCTACTTATAACGACAGCCCAGATCTGTTCTGAATCCTAGACACACATTTCCATTCGCTGATGGGAAAAGCTACCTGGATGTCATACCAGCATCTGAAACTTAACATGTCTAAAAAGAAACTCATCTTCTTCCCTTCCAAACCTGCTCCTCCTGCTGTGTTCCTTCTCTTGGTAAATTAATTACTATTCTCTCAGTTTCCCAAACTTAAAACTTTAGAGTCATCCTTGATCTATTATTTCTTTCAACTTCAACCAGTAATCAATTATGAGGTTCTATCAATTTGAACACACTTATATCTCTTGAGTGTGTCTCTTCATCTCCACAGACATTGTTTGGACCTCTAACGTGATTCTTAGCTCTGGCCTAATTCAGTGGCCTCATAGATTTTTCTCCCTGCATCCCATTATTTCCAGTTGCAATCAATCTTCTACACTGCTGCCTACACTTCTACAATTCGCCTGTATACACTTCTTATCCTAAAAATTACAATTCATCATGAAATTCTCCACTAATTGAAAGCTTTCTTTTTCAATGCTTAAAGGAAATTTTTAAAAACTCCTAAATTGGGCATGTGAGACTTCACAATCTGGCTCCAATATACCTTGCTCTAGTCATATTGAATGTTTCACCATTACAGGCCTTCTTCAGAGCTTTATACTTTGCACTTGCTTATTTGCTTTCTAGGAATGTCCTTCTGGTAAACTTTTATTCAAATTTTAAGTTAGATCAATCAAATATCACCTTTCTATGTACTCTGATTCCTCTAAAGAAGTTAATTGTTTCATTCTGTGTACTTCCACAGCACCTTTTTTTTTTTATCTGTAAAAGCACTTCATACATTTAATTGCAATAACGTGTTTTGAGTGTCTATTTTCTCCACTGCATTATAAGTTTCCTGCAAGCATTCATCTCCATCCTCAGCATTGGCTTCAAGGTCTGACACATATTAATTGGTAAATAAAAGCTTATTGAATAAAAATAATCCATTGAAAGGAAGTTAGAATGACATCATGGAGACAAACTCCCCTCACCCCAAATTCCTTTTGATGAAACTGCACAGAGACAAAATCTGAGGCTGGCCAACTCTTTATACTGACTCAGCATAAAATTGCTTATGTTTTTAGAACTGTCACCAGAATGCATTCTTATTTCTACCCACAATATATTAGGTCAACCACTCTACATCCTAAACACACAATCCATAAATCACAATTGCAAAGTCATCTTCTGTAAAGATAAACTTACAGATAAGTATTTTAATGAGAACTAGGCATTTCCTAAAGCCAAAAACATTTCCATAGGAAATCATTTCCCAATTGTCAGGCAGAAGAAGAAAATTATTTTAGAACAAATTTACATGCTATTAACTGAAAAAAATAGGAAATATTAAAATGAATTCCTTGAAAAGAAAGATGTAAAACTTTTACCAATTATGTTAAGGGATGAAAATGAGTAATATAGTTAACATCACAAATATTTAATATATATTTAAGTGTTAGAATGAATATCTTAAATTTTGGCTCAATTTAAGGTTGTTTTTACAATGTAAGATTCCAGTACTAATTAGAGTACTGTAATTTTCATTTGTGATAATTGCATTTGACATGGCAATATTTAAAGAGTAGTTTTCAATGCATGATAAGCACTTACATTTCAGTTGTAGCAGCTAATTCCTTAAATGAAACAATTATAAAGCATATATTATATGCAAAGTTTTATGGAAAATAGAGATGTCTTGATCCCCATCTTCATTGAGTATACAGTCTAGGGAAATATATACAACCATAAGAAGAGGTTAAAAAGAGGCTGGGCGTGGTGGCTTATGCCTGTAATCCCAGCACTTTGGGAGGCTGAGGTGGGCAGATCACATGAGGCCAGAAGTTTGAGAACAGCCTGGCCAATATGGTGAAACCCCATCTCTACTAAAAATACAAAAACATTAGCCAGGCATGGTGGCGCGTACCTGAAATCCCAGCTACTCAGGAGGCTGAGGCATGAGAATCACTTGAGCCTAGGAGGCAGAGGTTGCAGTAAGCCAAGATCATGCCACTGCATTCCAGCCTGGGCAACAGAGTGAGACTCTGTCAAAGGAAAAAAAAAAAAAAAAGGTAAAAAGAATGTATTCTCAAAGTTCACAGAGGAAGATCACCTACACAGTGAAACAGTGATGATGTTGGGGGTGATGGTGAGGCAATGATTTAGTGGGAAAGGATGCTTGTAAGCTAGGCCTTGAAAGACGGTTGAATATGCATAAAGAGAGATAGCAGCGAATTGTATACCAAGAAAGATGTAACAACACAGCAAAGGGATTGAAAAGGGATGGGGTGAGATCCCGGTAGACCAGTTAAGAAAGAAATAACAATCTAGGTTAGATACAATGAGAGTAATGATCATGAGAATGGAGAGGAGAAAACGGATTTGAGACATGTAGAGATTAACTCTGCTGGATGAAGAAACTGATTAGATACAGTAAGTATGTGTGGTTGACTGGGTGAATGGGAGCATCATTAACTGATTAGATACAGTAAGTATGTGTGGTTGACTGGGTGAATGGGAGCATCATTAACAGACGTAGGTGATACAAGGAAGATGAGTGGGATTAGGAATGTTAAGATGATTGCTTCTACTTTAGAAAGATTGGTTTAGAGGTGTCAGTGTATTATTCGTTTGGAAATGCCGGGGAGGTTAACTGAAAATTTAGGACTAGAGTTTAGGAAGGAGGTTAGGTCTGAAGATAAATATGTGAAGGTCACTCAAATAGATGTGATCATTGAAGCCATCTGAGTAAAATATTTCAGGGTTCAAGCAGTAATCTTCAATCTTGAGCAGGAATCAGAATCCCCTGGGGGTTTATTAAACCACAAATGGGTCCCACCCCCAGGGTTTCTGACTCAATATGTCTAGGGTGGGGCTGGAGAATTTACATTCTAAAAAAGTTCTCAAATTTTGCTGATGTTGTTAGTCAAGTTCATACTTGGAGGACCTAGAAAATTAAGTCTATTGCTTTTTTTCTCAGCATTAACTTATTCATAAAAAAAGATAACTTGTGTCATCTGGGCGCGGTGGCTCATGCCTATAATCCCAGCACATTCGGAGGCTGAGGCGGGTGGATCACGAGGTCAGGAGTTTGAGACCAGCCTGACCAACATGGTGAAACTCCATCTCTATTAAAAATACAAAATGTAGCTGAGCATGGTGGGGCGCACCTGTAATCCCAGCTACTCAGGTGGCTGAGGCAGGAGAATTGCTTGAACTCGGGAGGTGGAAGTTGCAGTAAGCCGAGTTTGCGCCATTGCACTCCAGACTGGGCAACGGAGTGAGACTCTGTCTCAAAACAAGACAAAACAAAACAAAACAAAAAAACAAAAAACCTTGTGCCAACGTCAGTATCTTCTGCGTCATTAAAATAGTGTCTAACACAGTTTATCTATCAGTTGGAACAGGAAATCATATTTCTACTAGTTTTTTTTTGTTAGAAACTGTCTTGTCAATCCATAACTGAGAAACTAAGGCTGCCCAAAGAATATGCTCCAAAATATGGCTATTGTAGGAAGGGTTCTAAAAAATTCTTACTTTCCTTTCAGTCTCGGCTGTGCAATGTTTCTACATTCTGGTAATAGACTTTCTGGAACCCTGTTTGGTGGTCTCCACTAACCTGCTAGCTTTGTCAGCATATTTATTTGAGACTTTTGTCCCATATAAGCAATGGCTTGAAAAGCACTTAGCTGTTTACTTTTCATCTTACTATAAATTATTTATCCTTCAGTGTATAAATGGCTATTTGTAGGATTAGACAAATTTTGAATGTTCTGATAAGAGGACTGCAGCATCCAAATTCATGCATAATCCGTAAAAAGCACATGTAACCTACAACCTCAGTTGGGTTGGCATATGAAATAGATTCTCCGAGCATATATAAGCTGTGCGAATTATTAACCAGTTAACATTAGCAAATTTATTTTTGAAACAAAAGTTTATGCACACAAGCATTCTCTAATGAGAAATAATATTAGTTATAAAGATCCAACAAAAACATACCTTGAGTAGATTTTTCTACTTCTTTCTTCTTTCTACTCTGGCTATTGTAATTCATCCTCAGCTCCTGGTTATACTCGTGCAGGGTTTCCCTGGAGTTGTATGACTGTCTTGGTTTTCTTCCATCTTCACTCTCATCAGAAGAACTGGTGTAAGCTAGATCCATTTCATGCTTGACTTTTGATAGAGGCTGGTAGGGTTTGCAGTCAGTTTGCTCCATCTCTGATTAAGCAAGCTCAGTTTCATGAAAAAAGGATGAGGAAGTCCTTTAATGCAAGCAGTCCTGGAAGAGAAAGGGAAAAACACAAGCCTTCTTAGATTTATCTTTTTGTGAGGAAATGCGTCTGGCAGATTCACAATTGGTCCTGATAATACTATCAAAGGAGAGAAGTAAAAGACAAACTAGATGACATGAAGCTAGCCGCAGGCAATAATAACACTCCGTCTTACATACATACATTGTCAAGCATTAAGGATTAAGCTGGAGGTTGCAGCATCAGAAAATACTCAAGGTAAAAGAGAGACAGCCTTCAAAAATATTTGTATTGGAATTCAAATAGAGGACAACGTTGTTCTGTGGTGTGTCTGTTTTTAATGTTAAAATCAGTGGTTAGATTAAAAAATGTTATCGGATTTGAAAGGGGTGAGGAATACAAACATTAACCCAGCACATCCCACATTTGAAGTGAAAACTGGTAAGAGAACTACATTCAGAAAGAACAGATTCTTGCCTCTGGTTTAATATTACATTTAAGACAGGGGCTCTGAGGAAGGGAAGGATTCTGAGTGAGAGAGCTCATGAAATAAAGTGTCCTTGAGGGGGACTGAACTCTTTGTGCTCATATTGTGGCTTTTGAGCCTCAGGCCTGCAGAGCATTTTTAATGAGTTAGGTAGTGGTAAATTTTTGTTCTTCATAGTACTGAGAGGATGTAAACAACACTTCTGGTGAGTATACTGGTACAGGAACAGCAGGATCTAAATCGGTTTTGGAAATAGCAATTTTAAACTTCATGATAAATCACCGAAAGAACCCCGTTTCCCCATAGAATGCTGAGCTAGGAGCCACTAAAGGTCTTAGGGCCAGTAGAAGCATTAACTGCTCTACTTAGCATGGAGAGATTTGAGAAGATCAAGTGTCATCTGAGATGTCAAAGTCCTCTGTAAAGTTACAAGCCCTATAAAAATGTTCTTATTTTCATTCTTTACATTATTTTATCATCACCATTTCAGTCCACTGCTGCAACTTTGCAACTTGGTCTTTTCATACAATGTTTAAAAATTTAGTTAGAAACCAATTAACTTTATGATTTTATTTTGCAGTGAAATTGACTCCTTTATTTTCCTTCAGCTCTTCATCATATGTGTTTTCAAAGAAATCTATAGACATCCAAATGGTGGCTCCTCTATCATATACACTATCTCATATTTTGGAATTCCTATTGCATTTATGGCAAGCACATAGAATACAGAAATCATTCAAAAAAGACTTTTAACTTTTCAAAGCATGATGTAGGCTGATTTTCTTTAAAAAAGGCTTATACATTTGACTGATATATGTTTTAAATGGTTCATATTGTTTTGTAGTATGAACAAAGTTTCACAAGTAAAGGTCTTCTTTTTCTAATCAAATGTTAAGGTCTTGAAGGCAGGATGTGAGTCTTAACCTCTTGTTATATCCCCCACACCGCTAAGCATTACTCTAGGCACACACGTAGTAGAAACTATTTAACTCCTGAACCTACAAACTGTCTATAGAGACACCTAGTTTGGTTTGAACTAATATGAGAGATGAGCATGCTTAAAGATAAAGCAGCAGATATGAATATATATATATATGTATATATATATGTGTGTGTGTATATACACACATACACACACACACACACACACACACACACACACACACACATATATATATACCAACGATTCAACAACAATCTAATCTCATGCCAGTATACTGGCTTCATATACTGTCTACATACCCATAACTTCTCAGTTTATAGCTTCAGCATGGGTCTTGACCCTGAGCCACAATTTTGAATATCCAACTGTCTACTCAATATCTGTACTTGATTGTCTAAAAGATATGTCAAACATAGTATGTTCAAAAGTGAGCTCTTAATTCCTACCCCTTCCCAAACCCAATCCTTCCATTGTCTTCTTTATATTGATATTAATAGATGGCCACAATGCTCTTCTGTTTGCTCAGGCCAAAGAACTTGAAGTCATTTTTGACTCCTGTCTTTCACAACCCACACGCAATCTGTCAGTAAACCCTGTTGGTCTTGCCTTTGATATGTATCCAGAATCCAACCAGATCTGTTCAATTTCCCACTACCACATCAGTTCAAGCCATCATATCCCTCCTGGATTATTGCAATTGTTTCCTAATTGGTTTCCTTCTTACACTACTGCCCTCCACACTGCAGCCCGAATAAAACTTTAAAATTTAAGTCGTATCACATCTCACCTTTGCTCAGAAGCATGTACCTTACTCTACCTTTGCTCATGTATCCTAGCTGCACTAACCCTGTTGCTGTTTGTGAAAACACCAGGCATATTTGTGCTTCACAGCCTTTGCAACCTCCCATCAAAAAATACCATAAAATGGTACATCTCATCTTTCTGCTTGTCTTTCAAAGAACTTATTACCAAATTACACACTATGTATTTTACTTATTTGTTTATCATCTGCCATCTGTCTCTCCCCACTAAAACATAAGCTCCATGAAGGGAGGGATTTTTATCTCTTCTATTCATTGCTATATCATTCAGAAAAAGCATAGTGCCTTGCATGTAGTAGATACTTGGTCAATACATGTTGAATGAATAAATAAACAATTGTTGAAAACTCCCAAGAGGGGCTGGAGAGAATGTGAAAATGTATAAGCCATAGTCTCTGCCCCTGAGAAACTCACAGCTTAATATATACAATAAGTGAACAACTCTACTACAAAGCAGAATGAAGTGGCTCTTACACGCAAAAGACAAAAACAGTAATGTATGAGCACTAAAGATGAAAATATTGGAAAAGGATTGCACTTGATTCAGCTAGTTGTCACCACAACCACTGAAATTCCATTGAGCATCTATAACGCTAGTTTTAATCTTTCTTCTTAGGTTTCCATAACATGATCTTCAGGAGATGCTATGGAAACCTAAGAAGAAAGGTGAACAGTTGTCTGACTTTGCTACAAACAGTGCAAATTGAGAACCGTACCAATAGCAGGCTTCCAGAGATGTAGTTTTGCAGCCAGGGATTAGGCTTTCACCCAGAAAAGGAGGCATGTATAAAATTCACCTAACGTCTAAACGGGTCTTTCCTTTCTACAAATGCCACAGCTTCCCCAGTCCATCCCATATCTAGCCATGTCTCTTCTTCGCATGGAACACTGATGATTCACACAGCTTTAATCTAGCCCCGAGAGCTTTCTCAAGCTATATACACCCATTTCAACTGTAAAGTGGGCAGCTTTACTCAGAGGTCCCTTAGTTATGGCAAGTCAGTATTTCCTCCCTCCCAAAACGTGTTCATCTTCTCAAACTTCCCCATCTCTGTTAATAGCCACATTAGTAGTTCAAGTCAGAAACCTAGAACTTACCACTCCTCCATCCACAAAAGCATCTACCTCATTGCTAGGTCGCATTGCAATCTACAGTCTCTCTCTTCCTTTCCATCCCAGTTGCCACTGCTTTAGCTAAGTCCCTCATCAGTTCTGCCTGAACTGTAGACATTCCTTCCCCCATACCCTTCCTGCTCCAACCCATTCTGCACACTGCCACTAGGGTCAATGTAAAGTTCTTCAGTGGCTGTGAGAGCTGAACTATAAAAGGAATGTATTAGTGGACTAGATACTGGAAACAGGAGAAAATAAATTTGACAAGGGTAGTTGCATTATTAAAAATATACAAAGAGTGTCTCAAATTTCTAAGCTGCTCAAGAATACTAAATACTCAAAGTAGAGTTTAGGTAAATAAAAATGGTTGCTGAGTGGGATAAAATATATATACAGAAACTTTGAAAAACTTGCTCAGTTTTTCTGTTAATGTAAAACAACACCAAAAAATGAAATCTATTAATTAAAATACAAAAATAAAATTAAAAGGTAAAAATAATTCACCGAACTTCATTTCAACCAATTCATTTCAACTTAAGCTTCATTAACTTAACTTCATTTCAACTTAAGCTTCAGTTGATTATGAATCTCCACTAATCTTAATGCCACTCAAACCTAACGATTTAAATTAAAAAATGAAAAATGTCCCACTTTGAATGCTGAATGTTGTGTTTTGGCAAATATGATTTATCACGTTAAAATCACCCTTATTTTTATGTATGGAAACTGAGACATTCTCTTTTCCCACCATAGGTTTATTTGCAACCAGAGAGAGAGAGAGAGACTTTCCTATAGCCATTTGGAAACTCTTTCAAATATCTAATCATAGCTATTCATAGCCATGAATCAGCTAGGAATGTCATATCTATTCAAGGTTATTAAGTGTCCTTGGAAGCAATCTTCCTTCAAACCACAAAAGTGGTATAAACCAAGAGAAAATAATCCTTTCCTGCTCCTTGACACTCAACGATAACTTTTTGTCCTAAAATTTGTGTCAGTGGACCCAGGTGACAAGGAAAACTTTCCAGGTCTCTCTAAGCATGTGATATGGAGGTGCACCCAATTCTGTGTGCCTAGAGTTGTGAAATAGTAACTGTCATATTTGTCAAAGGCTTGAGAAACAGAGTTTGAATTCACCAATAAATAACTCATTTTTTTTCAAAATAAAAAAGTAGAAAACATTAAGAAAAAGATTAAAATTTTAAATCCACCAAAGGTTGAAAGCATAATTCTAAAAGAATGTTGTTCCAAATACTCTATGGTAAAGTATAGGTTCATATTTGCTTAATTGACTTTTTCATTCAGTGCCCATCATGGCATCCTGGGGGTCCACTGTCAAGTAAATGTTATTTAGACATGATGATGAAACTGTCAACTTACAGAAAAATCAAATATACATATAACGTTATTCACACCCAAATAATATCATTTCTGTATTATTTTGATAATGATAAACTCGAAGACAAAGCAAATGTGTATGGAAAACACATGCTGCTATGGAACAGAGTGCAAAACAAAGAAGTCAATTATTGTTTCTACTGCAGAAGATACCTTCAGATAGTTCACAAAGTATGAATTCCAATGTCACCACCTGTGGCTTGCTCTTGTACTTTAAACTCTCTACTTGCTAACAAGACAAACTCTAAGTGACTTTAGAAGAGAGCC